TATAACTAGGGGGCCCCACCTTGTAACACCCCAAACCCTAAACCCTCAAGCCCTGAAGGCGTGTAGCAAACTGGCCTCCCAGGCTTTGGGTTTGCGGGATGAGGGTTCAGGGTTTAGCCTCTGCGCTAGAGCTGCGGGATGACCCTAGGCTTTAGTGTGTAGAGTAGTTAAGAAGGATGCGAAACTAGCTGACTGCCGAGATCCGAATCATATCTGTCCAAGTATAAAACCCAGGTCTACACTTTGAATTGTATACCTTTCTCTTTCACGAACCCTAAGGGTCCATGTGCCCAAATAGTAGAACATTGGCCCTAAAGTACCTATATAGGGACTACATTAAGGCCAAAGTATATGCTGTTTGGGTACATGGAGCTTTAGGGTTCTCTTTCACGAATAGTCTATTTGGCAGCAGGCGTCTTCCTGGACCTTCAAGTCGTTGACCTACTACGCACGCGCTATTTGCCACTTATGCAGTAGGGTTTAGGGTTTAAGGGTTGATAATAAGGTTTTCGATTCTGGGGTTCAAGTGTTCATGGTTTAGGGTTATTATAGGGTTGTTATCGGAGACTTAATTAACCCATTGGCGTCGGGGCAAGTGGTAGACACGGGAGAAACCTACTCCTGTGCGGTGCCGGCTCAACAGCACCCAGCCCCGCAAGCCTGCACAAGTGTTCAGGGTTTAATTAGGCATATCATTACGGTTTTAGTTCAGGGCTTAATTAGGTAATGGGGGTTAGGGTTTAGGGCTTGGGTAGGTGGTTAGGGCTTACGAGTAGGGTTTAGAGTTTAGAGAGAACTCAATGTTGTAAGGTGACCAGCGCCCGAAAGAACCGAAACACCGCATTGCCCCTACAACCCTATAATCCCTAAATCCTACATCACCCTAAGGGTCCATGTACCCAAATAGCATATACTTCGGCCTTAATGTACTCTCTATATAGGTACTTTAGGGCCAATGTTCTACTGTTTGGGTACATGGACCCTTAGGGTCACAAGTACGTCATGAGTGCATGCCTAAACCTTTTGCGGAGCTCAGCGTCACCTTCGTGAGATCCAGCTTCCTCGTCTGCATCCACCTGCTTGATCAGCTGAAGGGCTGATCCTATAAACCCTAAGGGTCCATGTACCCAAATAGTATATACTTTGGCCTTAATGTAGTCCTTGTATAGGTACGTTAGGGCCAATGTAAAAAACATACTACTAAACTCTTCGGGAACATGGACCCTTAGGGATACTGCATAAAACGTGTTGGTATACATACCAATAGTAGCCAGAACAAGAATAGAAATAAAGTTGTTAGGCTCCAGATCGCAAAACCGCATATTCAGGCGTTGAAAAGAAGAAAATATTTACGATATGCACAGAATAAAAAACAGTGTGTCCTGCGTTTCAGGGATGGGGGTAGTTCTCTGTACTAGGGTCCTTCTGAGATTCTGATAACTGTGAAGCCTCTTTTGGGTTCCTTATCAGATTTAGAGAACTACTGAACCCTAAGGGTCCATGTACCCAAATAGCATATACTTTGGCCCTAAAATACCTATATAGGGACTACATTAAGGCCAAAGTATATACTATTGGGGTACATGGACCCTTAGGGCTACTGAACTACTCATAGACACTGGGTCTACCAGAAACTTCAGACCCGTACACCTTCACTCCCAAATTTGATGGGAGTTTCCGAAAATTAGGGTACCCTATTCTGGAGTCCTTATAATAAGGATCTTACTACTTAGGGTACTACATTAGGGTCCCCCGCCCTAAACCCTAAACCCTAAACCCTAAACCCTAAACCCTAAACCCCTATTTTCTGAAACCCCCCAAGCAGAGGGGGCGCCCCCGGTCGATATAGGCGCTGAGGCTTAAAAGGTCTATAGGATTTAGGAAAGGGTCCATGTACCAGGGGTTTTAGGGCTTTAGGGTTTAGGGGTTTAGGGGTTTTAGGGTTTAGGGTTTTCGGGTTTTAGGGTTTTAGGGTTTAGGGTTTTAGGGTTTTAGGCTTTAGGGTTCTCTCTCTATCTCCGCCTGTTGTGGGCACGTGCACTTTTCAGCTGATGAGTTTTCGTTTAATTAAACTGCATGTATGGTCCCTTATCAGATCGACTACTTTGCTTACTCAGCACTGTTACGATACGCAAAACATCGGCCTAACATCTGATTCCCACAATTCCCACCAATCCACAGCATTTATCAAGTTAGCCTTTTTCTGAAGTTTCCAAAGAACGTTAGAAGCAAACCACACACATGCACGAACACGATGCCCAGCCACCTCATCGATTCCACTGCCTGATTTGCATGGAACATGGATAGCACTCAGGATATGGTGAACACAGGAGTCGTGTATGCCTTGATGTGCTGGAGTGTATGGGGCAAACGAGTACACAGTCGTCACCGTCATCATCACCAGCAGCATCATGCATCTTGAACCATCATCACCATCATCGTCATCATCAGCACCATCACCAAGGTCAACACAAGCCGTGATGATTATCATCATTGTCGTCACCACCACCACCACCACCACCACCACCACCATCAGCATCATCATCGTCGTCATGACCAGCAGCATCCTCACTGTGGTCACGAACATCAACAACAACATCATCACCACAAGCATCATCATGCTCTTGAACAGCCCCAACAACAACAAAGCAACGGCAACAGCAACAGCATGATCGTCATCGCCATCCTCGTCATCAAGACTTCCAGGGCGATGTTCATCTGGTTCGGAGGCTCTTTCGACTTTGTAAGCCTGCGGCTGGGGATCCCATATAAGCCCTAAAATTCGCATAGCAATGCACCCATCTTCGTAAACTTCGACCTCATCTACAGGCTGCTGTTGAATCAACCGTCGACGATTAGTTCTTATTTAGTACTGCTGGGTGTTTTGAGGCTTTGGGTTTAGGATCTGGAGATGGGAGTTTGGGGTTCCCATTTGCCTAACGGTCGAAACTAGCGCTCGACATGCGCACTCAAGGTCCCCACAAGCAAAAAACAACGCTTAAGGTTCACCCGCCGAGCCCTCAGCAGCACTGTTCGGTCCAGAGTGGGCTACCCTAGCGTTCTCAGACTCCAATTTGAATCTTGCAAAGCAACTGGGCTTGTCAATCCTGATGAACCAGCACGTCTTGGGCTTCGTGACGTATTACCTATGTTTCCTCTGACGTCTGCCCTATTCTGCCCTAAGCCCCTTAACCCTGAACGATAAACCCTAACAAGAGCCTGTGTCTGAGGATCCTTAATGCTTAAACAGGGTGTCGGAATACATTGACTTTCGTATACAGAATACGGTTGATGGTATACATCCTGCACTACCCATAACAAGGAATATACCATAGTTCCCATAGTTTAGGGTCCTTAAGGTAATGCAGGGTTTATATCATCAACAATATGTCTCTTAGGGCCACAACTGAAGATCAAGGATTAAACTCATAAGCCCGATGGACCTTCTGCCAGTAGTATCCCTGCTCCATGGAGGCAAGGTGGGCACCGCAAAGCACCTCAGGAAGGGGGGTCAATAATATTACAATTAATATTATAACTAGATATTCTTCATATTAAACTCACCTTAGGGCCTTAAGGTTTAGGGTTTAGAGTTTAGGGTAATATCACCATTGTTTTTATGACTAGATATTCTTCATATTCTCACTATGACTATTGTGAGTATTCTTACTACTACCATGACTATTAGTCACAGTCTGGTCCAGCACAGCACTTGCTTGAAAGAGCTTAGCACTTACAAGTTCAGGGGATTACATTTGTAAACGTGAAACCCTGAACTTCGCAACCGGAAATATTTGAGTTGAACATGTCTTTACTCGCTGCACTCACCAGGACCAACCACAAGAACCGCCCGCCCTAAACCCTAAACCCTAAACCCTATATCCTATACCCTAAACCCTAAACCCTAAACCCTATACCCTATACCCTACACCCAACCTCCTCCTCCGCAAGGCCCTGGGTTCAGTCCTGGAGCCCTTGAGGTCCCTCCCAGTGCTTTGAAAGCAGAAGACTCCTAAATCAAGGGACTAAAGGAGGGACCCCTAAAGGGACCCTTGGGGTTATATAGGGGCTTTATGAGACTATATAAGGGGTATATAAGGGTTATATAGGGTATTTGCATTAAGGGTCCCTTCTAGGGGTCCCTCCTATTGTCCCTTAACATCCCTTAACTAAAGGAGTCTGTGACGAAGGGCTTCTGAACTTCGGCCTACATCCCCCCGACATATTGAGCGATCTATGTGGGTTTCTGGGTTTAGGGCTTTCGGGCTTGAGGGCTTTAAGGTAAGACTCGCTTTTCACGGCTTTAGGGAAAGGGTTCCAAAATATGTTTCCGCGTACTGGGGGACATGAGCATTTTTGTGCTCCTGTTGAACCATTAACCCTTACATCTAAGTCCCCAAACCCTAAACCCCTAAAGCCTAAACCCTAAACATAAACCCTTCAAGACTAAACCCCTAAACCCTTAAGCCTTAAACCTCACGCCCCTAAACCCTAAA